TGTAGGGAATACTAAGTGTAAAGCAAAAGCTGTGCTGTTTTGGAAAGTGGACGCACCAAAGCAAGCATAGCACACATCAAGACTTACCTGCTTATACTTCCGCTAAAAGACAAGACAAATAATCATATGCTAAGTATATCTAATATTCATGTAGAAGACATATGCAAATCAGGCAAATACAGATTTAATATCTTATCGTTCATATTAGAAATGGCAGTTTAAAGCCAAAAACCAGAAATACATCATGTTCTCTGCTTGTCTAAAGAAAATCACAACTTGAATAATGAAATACTACATTTCTACACAAAAGTAAGGACAATTCTAAAATTACTGCATCCTACTAATTAGAATTACATAATGAGATTACCAGTGACAAAGGCGAACACCGGCATGCCTGAATTTATAAGTATTAAATTACATGAGTGTTTTGGCTTTGTTTTTACATAGTACCTTTATAACTTTATATTACATCTATAATTTTTGACCTTATGTTTTCTATACCTTTGAAGTTCACTGTAAATATTCGGAAGCTAAAATTCATGTATACATTATATGTAGTGAGTCTTAGAATGTAATAATCATTAATTTGGCAATATTTAGTTACAAGATCATTCTGTTTATATACATCTGACATTAACATCAAGAGGAATTAATGACTTGGATGGTATATTACTTTAAACTGTATATACAAAAAACATATTACTTCAAATATTCTCTGTATTTTTATTTTTCTTCACTTGTATATTTGGTTAGCTTTCCACTATTCCTTTTCTTACTTTCCAAACAAGAGAGAAATGCATTTAAACTCTAATATGAGCTAGAACAAAAAAGACAAATTTGAATGGAACAATTTATAATTCTCTAAAGCATAGTAGAGTTTATAGATTTAGTAGGCACATCATCTATATGAGTTACTCTGTTGGACACAAAGTAAACCATATGATGTGAAAGGAAACATCTTAAAAACAATCACACTATAGACTGGAATCATACTTCTTTTAAATTCATCCTGAACGCAGTTGTCTATATTTTTCCCTATGTGAAGGCAAGCAATAATTTCTCTTCTTCTTTTAAATTTCAAGTATTTACCAAAGGGCTTTTCCAATGACATTTCCATATTTTCTCTTCAAGAGTGAGATTTTCACCAATATTAACATCACATCCAAATGACTAGACCTTCATGAGCTTGTGCCAGCTGTGACACCTCTAGGTCTTATATCACTGCTAACTTGAGTTCTATTCATCAGTATTGTTTCTATTAGTTTCTGTATGTAAGACAAAGCATTAGTATGATACCTGGATGCTCTGGTCCATCCAGGCCTTGCTTTATGCTTTAATGCTTTGCTTCACATTTGAAATTTACTCTAGAATACCTGTCCCTAACTGGAGTTGTGCATTATAGGACAAAAGCATGAAGGTTACTCAAGATTCAGTCAAAATACAGTATGGAGGTGTCCTACACAAGATACTACTATGCTTATTGCAAGAAAAAGACATTTGCTAAACCAAATACAAGCAACATGAGAGATCGTTCAACCAGTTGCACTGAACTCACTGATAAACGGGTTTTTCTGTCCTGGTCGTTCCAGACACTTTCATCAACTCTTTAATAGTTTCACTTTTATATTTCTGAAACACCATTTCCTTGCAAGTGTGCCTACTTTATCAAAATATTACACACAACGTAGCCTTTCTATTTTCTGGCTGTATCTAAAAATTATAATTTCATTTACATTTTCAATCAACTCATAAAATATTCCTATTAGGACTGCTTTAGAATTCAAACTGATTCAGAATTTTACAAAGTATAAACCTACCTGTAAAACTCAATTTCAGGAACTGTGTCAGCTGCCTTAAAAAGTAGAACTAAGACACCGAGACTGCAAGCCACTTGTTGCACAGCAATTCTTCTCTTTCCAAGTGTCTTACTTCTTCCAAATAAACTTAAAGCTAAACTTGCATTTTGTCAAAACGTTCATGTAGAGTTAAATAAGAGCAAACTCACAATCATTTCAAGTTCAGCCAGAAAAAAAATACTTTTAATCAGTGACAAGTCTGCCTCACCATTAATAAGCATTTATATTATCAATTAAAAAACTGTTGTTCCACTTACTGTGCCACGTCAGATACAGCTGGCAGTGGAGACTCTTCTGATACAAGGTCAATGTCATCAGTGAAGCTGTTGGCCCGTGACATTTCCTGGGTATTCCCTTCTAAACGTCTTTTCACTACACAAATAATTCAAAGAAAACATAATACATTAGGCAGACAACACATACGAGCTCTTTCTCTTACTTAAGATACAGTGGATTGAAGAAATGGTGCTAATATGAGACACAGCTTTATTTCTTTGTCAGAATCAGTGAAGTTGATGATTATATACCATACAAAAATACATACGTGCATACACATAGTTCAAATACACAGTGACCTCTTACAAGAAAGGCTTGTCGCCTTGTGGACTGTCTCCCTGTAAGGAGAAATTCACCATACCCATGATTTCAATACGGGTATGATGACAGAAACAATCTGACTTTCATTTCCCCAGTTAATACTATAAACATATAAACTACATATAAATCACACTTTTGTTTCAAGTATTCGATTTGGTCACTATAGTCACCAGTGTTCTGAAATTCTCCAACTGACCAGAGCCTCGGGTGTTTGAATGCAGTCAGCTCAGCAGGGTAACCATGACGGATACAAAGCTTTACTGTAGCTGTGTTCCAAGCCTAAGAAAGCTACAAATTTCATTACAGATTCAGAAGACATATGATGGCCAATGAATAAAGAAATTTACTCACAGACTACCAAAAAAAAAAAAAAAGTGCAGCTAGCCCTGTAATCGATGAAAACTGGTGTTTTAAAAAAGTCTACCCTCAATACTCACACCCATCAAATATAGGGCTGACTTCTTCCACCATAAATGTGAAACACACACGCGCCTGCCTTTCTGAGTTCAGCTGCATCAATGTCCATATGCAATTTCTTCTTTAAGGTCTTGACAATATCTTTTCCTATATTTATTTTGTTCAAAAGCTATGAAGTACATCTAGCTTAAATTGCTGTGATCTGAAATAGCAATTTTTTTTCATGACTACTAGTGATCCTAACAGTTTCTAAGGCAGGTCCCTATCTGTTTTAATTCTGATCATTCTCGAAAGCTTGGCATATACAGCTATAAGCAGGCAGAGTCTAATTTGGAAAATGCACAGGATGATGCAAATATATTAAATGGAGAAAAATAAAGACAAATGTTTGCGAGGGGGGGGGATATCACTAAAATTAAATATCTAACAACACAAGTAAAAGACTAAGTAGTGTCACTTGCATGTATGTACAGCATTGAGTAAGAAGAAAAAGCAACCCACATGGCAGAAATGAGAAAGCGTGCCTCCTAGAAAGCTGAATTGTTGAAATCCTGATCTAGTCCTAGAGCACCACTTTGGCTGGACTGCATTCAAGCTAAATACTAAAAAGCATACCACATCAGAGCTTATTATTGGAAGAGCCATAGCATAAATGGGATGGAATAAAAATGAAGTCTACGGAATATAATCATAAAATGGCATAACTGAATACTGCTAAAGGACAGACATTTACAAGGGTATTTTATTTGCATGTGTTGCATTTAATCATAATTAAATAATGTTTCCAGGGGAAACCCAAATCTTCCTGGCACTTGGAACATGAACTTCTGTGCTCTTCCAGCACTACTGAAACACTGTGGTTGCTCTAGAGGAGCTGTATTTTGTGAGACCTGCCAGTTCTGCACTTGTTCTGAGAACACTTTTTTTTCTGTAGAAGTATGTAACCTTCTTTCTGAACAAAGTCTTGAGGTACACAGATCCAATATTTGAAGTCCTGCTTTGGGGAGCACTCACAGATTTAGCTACAGGTTTCTTCAATCTCTAAAGAAGTAACACTGCACATGATCGCAACTGAAAAATTAAACTGGGGGAATTTTGGCTTCAACTTCAGTAAGGTTTTCCTCATAGAAACTAGCAGAATTTGAACTGGCCAAAGACAGAGTTAAATCATTTTGCCCATGTAAGGCTAATCAAATGAAAAGGAAAACATACCATTGCTATCAATTCCTAATACACAATGGACTGCTAAAATGGTAAGAGAAAGATGTAGCTAATTCTTGGGGGATTGTGCCTTTTATATCACAGGATAGAAATTAAAATTGCTGTGATGTATTTGACATGATAAGAAGCAGGCTTATATTTTCTGTCATTTCAAAGGTTTGGTCCAGATTGCCTTATCAAGCTTATCTTTCTCATCACACTGTTGTTTACAATCTGCATCCACAGAATCTCAAAAAAAACCATGAAAACCTAATTTGCATTTGGCTTGGCAATTCTTTTTCTGAAAAGTGTTCACTACTACAACAGCTCTTTGCTCCATGACATGATAGTTATGACAAAACAGGAGCAGCAGCAGCATGCTGGTTCTGAAACCTTTACTTTCTCATTATTCCCATTTGTGGGTGCTGTGCTGAGCACTGCAGAGCAGCTCTGCTGTTACAGCAGGATACACCTGGAACCCCTGCTTCTCTGAGCATAGACCTTCTGCAGAGACACATAATTCTGGGCTTAATAACCTCAAGCTGTGCTTGGTTACCTACCAGGACAAGCTTCTGTTCCCTCTTTAGCTAGGGTAAAAGCATGTAAGTTTTCTGTTTGGTGAAGACTGCTATGATTATCTGCGACAGTCTCATCTGACAAGTAGTACACACACATTTAATTTCTACAAGCATTAGGAAAAAGACATTGATGTGGTTATGCACTTCATACAAACAGGAGTTCTGTAACGTACACTCCATAGTTAATTTTATTAGTTGAATTGAAGATGTGCACTCTTCAACTCCATAAAACTAAGTATATGGGTCATGTCTCAAAGATTGTCCCCTGCTTCTCCTCTCCCCTCCTACACTTTCCATGGTAAGATCTGTAGACAAAACAATTTTTGCCAGTTTGGTTACAGACTAGATTTATCTCAAAAACCTGCCTCTAGCTTATACTATTTACATTAAAAGAAAGAAGAGCTTCTCCTAGAAGTGTTGCTCTTAAATATCAAGCTAAAGCAGAAATAACAGCTCAGAAGCTCATAAAATTTGGGTGGTGATATTGTAAGATTCCCTACTACTGTCAGAGCCACTTCATTCAATTCAGTCAGTTCAGATTCATGTTTTGTGAAGTATTAAGCCATCACAAGAGAATACCTGTTTTATCCTTGCAATAAAGAAGTTATTTAATGCTAAACGACTTTATGCTTTTATCACCCGTTAATTCTGTGTGGTCCTGCTTAAAAATATTAACCCATTAATAAAGTTTTCTGGTTCACACATGCAAACATTAACATGAATGGCAAATGCAAGTTAAATGTCCAATGTTCTAAATCTTTTCTGTCCTTACGGTAACTGTTAGAGTGGGGAATAGTTATCTTATTTGATACACTACTTCTGGAACCAACTCAGTTTCTGTAGGTAACCGTCACTTTCCCTGAGTGAACTTCCAAAACTCGTTTAGACAGCAATGTTCAGTCATAAATTAAAAATCCCAAAAAACACAAAAAAGGAACAAGATTTTTTTGAATGTCAAGAAGCCAAGAGCTTCTGAGCAATGAAGTAACACCATAATCACTCATAACAATGCTTTCATTTTGAGGAAACATGAAGCATTAAAATACATTTAACACATGACAGTGATACTTTCCAGAAATAAAACTCAAAGTTGTAAGGTCCAGCTACTACATATGGTAAGTTTGTAACAGCTGCAGCTTAAGCCAAAACAACTATATCCTCCCTCTCTGTATTTATTTTAATAAGCTTTCCTGTTCCAAACTGACTTTATGGGAAGAAATGCCTAATTTTTGTTGTTGCAGATTAGCAAGGAGGGAAAGCAAAGAAATATGAAGGGGAAAGAGAAGCTGTCCTTCCTTTCCATGTGCTGCTACTCACAATATTTAGAAGCTGTGCCTATTTGGTTATAAATATATAATGTTTTATAAGCAAGAACAGTTGGAAGCAGCAAGTTAAAAAATACAGAACAGTATCTGCCATGATATAACAAATACCAGTGGATGCCATGAAATGGGTCAACTCATTAAAAGAAACAGCAAAAGGAAAGCTGAATTTCACATATCTCTCTTCTTTCCTTCAGTATCAGTTTTTAAAATGGTGAGAATGTGTAATAAACACATTGAAACACGACCGAGAGATATTTTTAATGCTGCTTTGCTTTATCTAACCTTAGATTCCTTATCTGTATCACACTAACTTCTGTCTTTGTAGTATTGGGAAAAAATGAACACCCAGTTTACAACCACAGCAGAAAATATGATTGCACATGGCTCCCATTACCATGGTCATCCTCAAACAGGCAATGTCCAATACCAGGACAAAATAACCAGGAAAATTTTGCACTATTCTCTTCTCAGATAAAAAAGGTGAAAAGAAAAAGCAGGCCTCTTCTATTGCAAATAATTCCAACTTACTGTTTTTATTAGAAGCTTTTTTAATATTCACCAAAATACTCCAAACACAAATTTAAAGATAATTTATACCATTCATACACAGCCTACTTTACAAGTCTGCAGAGAATTTCAGTGGCTGCTTACGTTACATAGAAAGGTAGTTGAAGCTGCTACTCCTAGGAATACAAACACCAAAGAACTGGAACACAGGAGATATTTGGCCGATTAAACTGGCACATGGATAGAAATGGATGGCATATTTGAGGCGGTTGAATATAAACCAGTTTCTGTCACATGAATATTTATTCCTCAAATTGCTAGGAATAGGTTGTGCAAAGACAGTGCCAAATACCTGGTGGCAGGGGAGAGCTCACAGAGCAGATGGATAAAGATGACTAGGAAAACTGTAGAGCTCATGTAAAAATACAGGGCTGGAGAAGGGCCAGATGGGCCATAAAAGGGAAGCTATACTGCTGTTCAAAGCACTGAAAAGATTAATGTATAAAGAACATTGATGAGTGCAATTTTTTTAAAACCAAAACATTATAATACCTGGTGGCAGGGGAGAGCTCACAGAGCAGATGGATAAAGATGACTAGGAAAACTGTAGAGCTCATGTAAAAATACAGGGCTGGAGAAGGGCCAGATGGGCCATAAAAGGGAAGCTATACTGCTGTTCAAAGCACTGAAAAGATTAATGTATAAAGAACATTGATGAGTGCAATTTTTTTAAAACCAAAACATTATA